CGCTAACCCCAATATGGCTACCACCTCTTGGAGCTACCACTTCCACCACAACAAAGGCGCTCCCGCGCTAGCAACCGTCAAAGCCAATCGAGTCAACGAGGTTGACTTCAGTGGCATTGAGTCCAAGGTGATGGCCACGGACTTCGGCAGGAAGTCGGCGCAAGTTGGGTGTCAACAGCCATAGGGCAAGTAACACTTTTTGCATCGAAGGGAGTGAACGGATTATTGGTTCGACAATTAACACCCGTTCCCGTCGACGTACGGTTTCGATGGTCTGTCAACCCATCCGGCCGTCGCCAACCTGAGGCTCGCGACCGTCATCAATACGGTCAACACGCTCGCTCGTTCACCACGTCGATATGCTCCACAATTCACAAGCGTTGTCGAGTAAACAAGCGAGCGATCTCATTTGATTTGTTGATTAAAGGGGCCAGCGTGGGATCTCTGTTCGGAGCTATCGGGAAACCAGGGTCAGCAAAAGTGCCGCCTGTACGTGGACAAGGATCGTTGCGAGCAAGTGATCCCCCGCGAGAATGTTCCGCAGCGTATTTGACGTTCGCGGACTTAAGATGCTCGACTGTGAGTCGTACAGAAGACCCAACAATTATCCGTGGATCGTTCAGCGGGAACAAGTTCCCACGGTGTACTCTATCTTTAGCTATCCTGATATGTCGTCCGTTCGAAGTTTCTGAACTGTCTCAGGCCCGCGACGAGCTACGGACGCATTGTCTTCATCGGAACTCACGGGTACAAGACTGCAGAGGGTTTCTGTGCGCTGCCTGTCGACTACAAGGTCCAGCGCTAACTGGATTCATTAACGGCGCCGGAACGTGTCGTCGATGATGATGGTGGTGGCGGTGGTGGTCTTCGACGGCGACACGAGCGAAGACGTACCACCGACAACACCTCACAGATTTAGCGAAGATCGGCTCGCTTGGATCTACCCGGAAGTCTTGTTGTAGGTCGACTGATCGCTTTGTTGCTTGTAGGTTCTTAGCCGCCGCCGCCGCCGCTTATAGCTTCGTCTTCGTTCATTATCTCATTAACATCTAGATCCCAGCAATTCGTCCATCTGCGCGACTGCTGTTGCCGCTATTAAAGAATCTTCAGTCGAGAGAGGAGCCGATGCTTTGATCCATTCTTATAGTAAACAAACGGACACACGAAGAGCTACAGCACTTCCCGGTTGTGCATCGCCTTTCGGTCGGACTTCGTCTTGGCTCGACGGGTCCGCCGTCTATCTGTGTCTGCCGCGCTGTCTGTGTTCGTTGCAGCAGCTACAACAGCCGACGCCAGAACCGGCCGCGGGATTCGGGTCAGTCCGCTGCAGGAGAACGGTTAACCCAGAAATTTGTGGGTTAGCGTTGCGATTGGCGCGGGCCGCATCTGCAACGACTCTCACTGAAGTCAGCCAGCTGGCTTGCTCTTCTGCTGCTCTTGCTGTCGCCGCCGCCGCCGTTCACTTGAAAAACTTTCTCGCAAGAGCGCCTCCTGTTCCCCGCTGCTGGAATCGGCCGATCGGTGCGTCCGTCCGTCGGTGGGTCGATTAGACGACCTGACTGCCCCAGAGTCAACTAGCCGAATATATCGCTCGTTCAGAACTCTAAAAAAGCACCGTTCTGCAATCTGTTCTAGAATCCGACACTGGCCGCTGCACCTGCACTTTCTAGCGAGATTCTGGGCTCAAGTCCGCCGCTCGGTCGGTCGGCTGCGCGGTCTTTTGAGGCTGTCGCTAAACGATCAGTCCTGCAGAACACACATTTTCTCAAGGGAATTCGGAAATCAAGGATATTCCCGGACCAGTTCAGAGCCATCGAAAGGATACATCGTAACATTCTCTTCGGTCGCTCTCGATGAAAGGGGTGAGCTGTCATCATGATCCGACGTGAACTCAGGTGAGAATCGGAGCCGACAATCAAGTCTTCGAGTTCTCGTTCGGTACATTGAGAAGGATCATTTCTCTAATTGACCAGTCTGGATAACTGTCCCACATCGGCTCCCTTCTTGGAGCGGGAAGTAGCGGCCGAGACTCGGATGACATCCACGTTTCGATGGGGAGAAGGATTTCCGGCCGGAGTTGTCACCATCAATTCAATTCAGCTTTGAAAAATCAGAGACACGACAACCTCTATCTGGCGGAGCTGCTCGTTCTCTGGCGGAACGAGTGAGGGAACAACGGGGCATGTAATCCAGGCGCGAATTGTGAGTGCTCCCGAGTATATGAGTGAAATGCGTCGATTCCAGGCCGAGTCTGATTCTCGTGCTATGAGCAGGGAATTTCCCACTAAACATCCTCGGAGACATGGTTCACGAGAAGGGTCCGTTCAATGAGCAGGACTTCGAAGACTCGTCCACGATCTCGGAAACTCTTCCGGAACTCGAGCACTTATAGAAGCTGCTGCTTAAGGGTCCCTCCGATCCAATAAAGAGGTTCTGGCTCGAGCCACCGATCAGAACTAGGGCGACGAGTATGAATCGGCGCGGGTGGAAGGACGTTGTTTCTCGACAGGCGCTTGGTCCTGCTTGAGGTAAAACAAAGGTCTGACATAAGGCCGAATAGAGCACATATCGAATCAGAGACATTTGAACCAGATCACCCGCTCCCCGCGAGTTGCAGGCCGACTGCATCTTGATCATCGCGTGAGGGACGCGAGCCTCGGAGACCCACGCCCTGCTGTCGCCGACGACGACCGACCGACGTGCAAGGCTGCTGCGTCGGCCGCCGTCGGTATAAAAGATCGAGTTCATCTCACTGGTTAGGTTCCACTACCGAGCTGTATTTCGGACCAGATAGACCTACTAGCTTAACTGAGCTATTCTCATAGCCCTGACATTCCGCCCATATTCATCTGGGCCAGAAAAGTAGCCGGAACACGCCCACGAGAAGACGCTGAATTAAATTGCTCACTGAGATTGCAATCGAGGGAGGCTTAGCTCGTCGGATCGTCTTGTTTGTTCGCTCAGAGGCTCAGGTTTAGTTTTCTTCACTCTGTCAGCCAACGCTCGTGAGCTTCGGGATCATCCGATGCTCTCTGATCGGGGTCGGATCAGCACGCCGCGATGCATTTTCGCAGCGGCTGTTTCCGATTGACATCTCTCTGGATGGGTTTCCAGCCGGGGAAAAGGAATCAGGGGTCGACGGGAAGGGAGGGGGACGATTGACTCACTTCTGCGAGTCGAAAGCGTAATTTGCTGAGAATGGAGAACTAACACGTTTTAGGAGCAGAGGGAAGTAAGCGTCGAGACATTAGACCCTCTAACTACTTACAATCAGTTAGACCACGCTCAGTCTCAGTGCTGGCAATGGTGATGGCAATTGAGACGGCTTTCCGCTCAACAGCCGTAACGAATCAGAGCTGCTCGAAAGAATCTCGCGCAGTGCGAGCACCTATCTTTACAGCAACCGTTAAGCCGCTAACAGCCACAAAGCCATTATTATAGCGTACAGATCCATTCTTACGTCTTCGACGACGACAAGTGCAACAACGTCGACAATCGTGGACCCGAGGCGAACCCGAACGCGTATCCCAATCCGTCAACTCAATGTCATCTCAATAACCGCTGCGCCAGCGCTCCTGCAAGTGCGCCCGAAGCGATTCGCCTCAACGAGCTTCACTTGGAATCTATGTTACTGACTTCCATGGCTGCAGCCTGAGTTTCCGCTGGCAAGGGACCGGCTAAAAAATGTTGAACGCTTCTTCGAGGTCCGGAACTTGTGGTCTCTTCTGAGCCCTTAGGTAGTCAGAAGTCCTTAAGTTCCGGGTCGGAGAATCCGAGATCCTTTGTCATTCAGCGCGCAGTGTCCTGGTGCCCGATGGTGCGCATTGAGCACCTCTCTCGGAGACCCTGGCTGAGGCGCATTCTCCTATTCCTCTCCAGCCGGTAATTCGCCTACAGCCAGGGATTAAGCTCAAGGACCACGATGTTGGTCCGAGATTCGGATCCGAGTCCGCAAGCCGGAACACACATCTCGGAGTCGCATAGGCTGACAGTGAGCAGAAATGGTTTCGGAGCTTGCACGAAGATGACCAGGAATAGCTGAATGTACTCCCGACCTGAGTGAGATCCATATATCAGAATGGAAACCGCCGATGTAGATGTGCAACTCCGACGTTTTCTTGTCTTCCCATGAACTCGATAAATGTTGGACTTGGTGCCAATCAGTGAAAAGCGACGCTTTCTCCGACTTGGCTTTCTTCTCCGACTCCCCTGAGTTTTTTTTCGGTGTACACGTACTTGGTTTTCACCACTCTGTTATAACCGTTGCCAAAGATCCTGATCTCTTCTCGGTTCTTCTTCTCTATTTCCAGTCCTACGTCTATTTTAGTATCGTAGTACTACTCGGATGTAGGTACGAAGAAAAACTTCCTTGCACCGGTTTCCGTGGGGAAAGGCGAAACTCTTCGCATGGACTTTTCTTTGTGATCGCTTTGATGGTAGTAGATCTCCCGGCTGCTCGAAAGCTCAGTCGTTCAACGTGCTATCTGTTCTTGCGTTCGCTGTTTCTGCTGCGACTGCTTTATCATGGTCAAGGTCCTTTCTTACCTGAAAATGCGACAGAAAATTGTTAGAACGCTAAGCACTTCTTGCAGCGCTGACTTTTCTTCTGCGTCGCGCTCACAACGATGCTAATTTATTCAACTATAAAGTCCACGGCCGGTTTTTTTTCCGTACCATAGCTCCAGAGCGGAAACTTTTGAATTGAATCCGGCGGGAATCGAATAAAGTATCTCGCGCTTATTCAATCTTGTGGGAGCGATTCTATCAGACGTCGGTGTCCGTCGTACCGAACGATTTCCGTAATTTCCGATTGAGACTGGCATCACCGTCTGTCTCTCTCTCTGACAGTCGATCGGATCCGTCACTTCCGATAATTCGGAGCAAATGTGTCTTCGACCATTGGCCTCTTCCTCCTGCTCATAGAGGGCAGCACTTGCGTTGAGCATGCTTCGGGATCAACAAAAATGGCGGCAAGATCAGCTGTTGAGCACCACGATTCCGAGAGGACCACCGGTCGTCATGACGGAGTTGCAAGATCTCTCGAAGCCGATCATCGATCCGATCCTGCTCATCACTGAGGGAACCGCTTCCCTACCGTCCTGTGCGTCGGATGTAGCCCCTCTCGATAGCCTCTTGGAATTCGATAGCTTGAGCACGGTCGATGTGTACGCAAAACTCGATGACCGCGCTCGTCAAAAAATCGCTGACGTGCGATTGGCCGAGGAACTCAATGGGGTATGTTTGCTTAGCGCAAGTTTCTGGCACACGTCGAGCCTACAAAGAGAAGTGCGACTCTTGGAACGCATCGATTCCGCGAGATTGAACTTGTGTAGCTTTCTCCGTACGACACCTCTGCGCCAGCTCGTGCCAGATGACTTATGAACGACGACTCGCGACGGTGGAGGTCGAATTTTTCTTCTCTGAAATACGGAATTTAATTCCGAGACAAACGGCCGGCTTGGTGCGGGGGATTATTTTATGCGTTCTTCGCATCAGGCGGCTCATGCACGACAACGGATACGTCGCAGGAGTCTGTACTCAATGATCCGTAGCATAGTTTTCTTCCGGTATGGAATGGTGTTCGTTTGATTCGAGAACATGGGACGTACCGACTTTACCTCATCATCGGTCAGGAGCGCGCAAATTGACTCGTTGCCTAGTTAAACGATAGTCAACGTCGCTCGGGACACGTTTGGCAAGGGGGCCGCAATCGCCATCAGAAAGGAACGATCGCGCCAAGACGCATTGTCCTCCTGGCGTGTGCCTCAACCTGTACAACACAACGACGAGACGACGGCCTTACGTCGCGTCTGACTGAGGGAAAATTATGGAACGACACATTCAGAGGAACCGAATCAATTTGTACGAAGCTAGGCTTTCCGGAAAATTGGGACGCGAGCCAAACTCACGCGGGGGAGCGTACGATTCTCTTCTTATCGGTCCTTGGCGCTCCTTCGAACCACGAAGTGTATCGGGGCACGGACCGACCGAGGAAGTGAAAGTGTTCCTGTCGTTCGGAGCTTCCGATTCCTATTCCGACAGATCATGCATGAGGCTCACGAGCTTCTCTGGCGGGACGGAAGAGCGAATCGAGCAACCCTTTGATGAGGGGCAAAGCCAATGCCTTCGCCAGAGTGACCTCGGGGATAGAACGGCAGCCGCCGCCCTTGTTCGAAAGAGGCCAAGTTCAGTGCTCGTTGCCGCTTGCCCGCTCGTTCACTTGTAACCGGGAAACGTTTCACTATTGTGGGCGGGTCAGGCGGGCAGATTCGCTCTTACAATAAGTCAGCTAATTTGAATCCCTCAAGCTCTAATGGACGGCTGCGCAAAGTGCTTGAACGCTTTTCTTTCCGATTCGGCGGTCAGGATCAGGGCTGCTATAATTAAAACGTCCATTCAACGCTGTCAGAAATCTGCTCTATCAGCGTTGGGGGGCTTTGATTGGGCGGGCTTTGACAATTTTCGCTTCGGACAGTACACGGCGCAAAGGCCGAGGGAGCTCCCCGGAGTACCCGGGGGAAAGCTCAAAAAATATTCAGATATTTTTTGGGATATTTTTTTCACATTGATATTTTGTGTGTCTCGGCTGGGACAGACAGGATCTGAGACTTCGATTCGTATCCTTTCCAGGGAATCCGGAACGAAGACGGGTCCATGAGCGCTCGCAAGAAGCAGCACACCGTTCTCACCAAAATCAGCGATCAATGGACCCGCGGGCCGATTTCGATACTGCACAAGGCACTTACAAACAAACTGAGAGTCAAGGTGATACTTCGCTGTCCCATACATCCAACTCGTTAGCCCGTAATTACTAAGCGCCCCGATGGCAGGCCTGATCGAGTGTCGTTCGAAGAGGGAGTCCTTCCTCTTTTTTTTCTGAATCGAAAATCTCGACCCGTTCCCCCTGAGGGGTCTTGATGCCGTTGTTGGTTATTGCTCGATTCAGGTGTACCTCAGCCGGTCGGTGCACCAGCCGGGTTCGAGGGTTGATTCGTCGCTTGTTCGAGTAAGCGACCTCTGAAATATCTCGGATTGGAAACAACATGGTGACGGACGATGTATAGAGTGCGCTATCGTGGCTGACCAGCCGGGTCGGGTGACTGACGGGCTGGCTGGCTGGCTGAGTGAGAAGAGCGTACCTGAACACTGGCAACGAACCGCTAAGGCAGTCGTCATTACATTCGAGACCGTGATTTACATACAACGTCTGACCCCGTTGAGATTCCAGGTCTGGGTGCGAAGCCACTCTACTGTACGAAGCATACTGACGGGCTTCGTTGCCGCATTCGATAAGCATCTGAACCTTGCACTCGTCGATGTTGACGAGGCCATCTGTCTGAGTAAGGACGGCATTAAGTCGAGCACTCTGACTCCTGAGGAAGATCTCAAAGATCTACGGCCAGTTCACAACGAGCAGGACTATTTGCTCTTTGCCAACGCTCATGAGCACCGCGACCACGCACGCGACCCCATCGACGACGGAACGGAATACGAACGTGCCAAAGAAATCGTGGCGTCCGTCGGAACTAGCGAAGAACAACGCGATGACGGCGGAACTCATGTCGAACCCGCGGCAGCCGCCGAAAAGACCGCTAATGACTCAGAAAAAATCTATAACAACAATGACGTTAGTCATGATCATCCGCGTAGCGAAAATGACGTCGGGACGTCAACGCCTGGAGCAGAAGAAATTCAAGCCGTGAAGAAGAAGTCGAAAGCAGCAGATAGGCAGGAGACGGCGATACCAACCGGAAGCGACCTGACCAAGGAGACAATACAGAAAGAACGGAATTCTGCAGCGCATCAACGGGAAAAAAACTCTGGCGATGAATTGCTGAAGAAGACGGAGTCTCTGAACATCGTCGAACCGCCCGAAGCTGCGGAGGGACCGAAGAAGAGAACGAAGATGAAATCGAAACGATCCAAGCACAGGGGAGATCCTCCGACGTTTTCGCAGAGATTCATACCGCAGCTATTTGTCCGAGGCGAGCAGGTGGTTATGATCGCGTTCGCCGACATCTAGATACCAAGTGAAATCGACTTCGACCAAGAGGAGTTGAATTTTCGCCCGATGAGAGATTTAACTTCTCCACGAGCACAGATGCTGCAACCGTTTCAAGGAGACCGACCGTCGTGGAGTTCCGTCGCCCTCAGCCGGTTTTTTTCCGGCGGGTATGGCACGCCTTGGGGCGAGCTCGAAGCTGAATATTTCCGGGGGGAAACGAGCACAGTCTCTTCATTCGCTCGTTTCGAAGGTCGTCAGGTGTCAGAAGCATGACCAGCCGAGTCGACTGTAAGACAGCGAACAGAGTTCACTATCCCCATATATCAGACATTGCAAACTGACACCCAAGCAGCTAGCTCATAGAGCTTCTTGGTCGGAGAGGGACCGAGAGTAACAAGCGACGGCCAGCCGCCAGCCTCAAAGTGCCAGACGACGGCGACGTCGACAACAACAATTTCTAAGTAGCAGGAGTAGATAAATCACGACTGAGAAAGTTCCTACAACATCGTCTTTGTCTCGTCGCCTGCCTGTTCAACGAACTCCATTCGCGAGCGACCCCAACAAGCTCACCACGGCCAGTTTGGTATGTCGTCGTCGTCGTCAGTGCAAGCAGTGCTCGAAGCGTTCGGTCTCTGTATTGAGAATGAAGCAGCGAAAGCGTTCTCTGCGATCGTCTCCCCACGTGGAGTTCTGCTCCGCTCAAGGTTCAACCCTCCAGCTCCGGGATGCTGGCACCTCCGTGGAGTCGGGGGACGCTCTCCTGATTGTAAATCAATTAGCCAATAAACGATCGACTTGCGATGAAAAACGCCGGTGGTACCACTGAATGACAGACATTCTGTAGACGGTGATTATCGGGTTTGAACAGCGGCGGTGGGCATCAATTGAAGATTGAAAGCAATTCATTTGGGTACCTCGAGACTAAGCGATACGCGCTCCGATAGTCCCGGTTCCGCTATGAACATCGAGGTCCGCCGAAGACAATGGCAACCTACATTAAGCGATGGAGAGGTGACACTTTGCCGTTAATTCGCGGACCCACTGACACGGATCCGAAGGAACCAGCAGCCATTGAGCCAGGGGACCAGCTAGTCGGCAGGTAGGATCGCCGGCCGGCCGACCAGTTAATTATCTGGCCCGCCGATAAATCACCGATCGGTGTCCGTCTCTATTTGTTTTGCGCAGATCATCGTTTGAAGAGTAAGTTCCGCGCTCGGCTGTCGAATCGAACTTCAACTTATCAGCGACACCGTCTCATCAACGAATCTTCCGCGAAGACGAAATGCAGTCAGAATCGAGATGCGACCTTCATCCGTCGGCGGTCGCGCTCGTCTCCGTGCGGACAAATTTATTTTCCGTTAGAAGCTGTCTATCGACGGATCTATGCGCGTAGCTTGATGTCATGTGTAGTATCATGTACAACGAGCACGTAGTTAAGGCACAAATGACTCGTAACTTCCAGGATAGTTTTGTTCCGACTTGGGCGGAATAGATACATCAGTCAAACAGACATTGAGTCGCTGCCGCATTCGTCATTGAAGGGGTAGCGCTACGCAGCGTCATCGGCGGCCCAAGACCAAGGCCTCCGCTTGAACTTCACCGAGGTTACCGCCAGCCGCGGCAAGCAATGCCACTGCCGGCAGCGAAGCTGAACGTAGAATCGCGAAAGGATCGAGCCTCACTGGACACTTTTAGCTTCCAGCTCAAATTCCTTCCGAGTGGAAGAAGCCGTTTTGTGTGACTAGCCCGTGCAGAAAAAATTATCCATTTGGAGTACCGTACGCTTTCTCATAGTATTCATACCCTTCTATTCCACAACGGAGTCGACTTGTGAGACAACGCGAATCGAAGCGATGTCGATGGAAAATAGGAGAATAAAATACTCTAATCCGAATCGGGCCCGGCTCCATTCTGGGAGCCGTGCCGAAAACCGAAAGTGGATCGCACACTTCGCTTTGAAGTCGGTCATGAGCGTGGAGCCGCTCCTTGCGATGTCGTGCTCCGCAAATCCAACGCTCGTTCTCTTCACCGCACTTATTCGAGTTGATTTCTGCTCACCTCATCGAGTCTCTTAGAATCGATCCGTCTATATCCGACGATGTGTTTTCCAATGTAGTTTTAATCCAGAGGGTATCTCGTCTGATAATCCACACCGCAGCACTTAACACCCACACACTCAGAATCAAAATCAACAAATAGCGACGGCAGAGGTAGTCGAAGTAGTCGAATAGTCAACAAGGGGATAACGGGAATTATTTCAATTAACAACTACAACAACGGCCGGAGCCCAGTCTGTCGCGTAATCCTATCGAACCCACTCTCGGGGAGCGAGTTAGAGTCGAGTTTCGACAAGTTCCACAGAATTCAGTACAAAGGCAGTTCTTGCAAGCACAACACCGTCGCCGCTTCGCACCAAACTGCGGCTTGCCGGCAAGCGCGCCAGCGCCACCAGAAGGGAAAGGGGATCCAGAAGGGCCAACTGACCCACTGAAGTCTGTTGCAGCAGCAGCAGCAGCGGCACCAGCCTCGTTGGAAGTCGTTGTCGTCGACGTCGTCGTCATCATCGTGCAGCAGCAGCAGCGTGGAAACGTGATATGTGCGCACAGAAGAATCGGGTTCTGACGATTTCGATGCCCTCAATGGGCTCCTTCGGTCCGTTGCGAGCGACCGCACCGACCTTGCCGCTTTCTCTGCCGCGGATGGTCGGAGTGGAATTCATGTCAGGACGAGTCGAAACCATTGAAAAACTGATTCAGCTATATGTGACAAAGTCTGAGTCGCGACACGAGATGCATCGCTTCGGCGCCGGGTTTTTCCCTAGTGTGCAGACCCTCCGATCGAACTATTTCGCGCCGGCTCGCTTCTTCCCTGACCTGCCGATCCCGGTTCAGGAGGCGCGTCGCGCTCAAGTCTCCCGAAATCGTTGCAGTAGTCAGTGGCTCCGAGGTCGGCAATCCTAATGATCACCTATCGATTCTCGCTCCGGTGGACGCTAACTATTCTGTCCAAGTTTTTGACCGCAACAATACGGAGAAAAATCTGGCTCGATGCCGGTATTGTCAATGCGTCATTAACTCCCGAAAGGGTGGCTGCTCGGTCGTCTGACCATCCTTTCGTTCGTTAGTTTGTCTCCGCTTTATTTTTGCCTGTTCGTCTTTCGGGAAGGTAGACTTTTTTTCCGCTATTTTTTCGAAGTCGAGTCGTGAGATTCCGCTGTTAGCACAGAATGCTCCCGAAAGAATTCGTCAGCGGAGTTCATCGAGCCCAAAGCTCGTTCTCCGGAGCTGATTGCTCAAGTCGAGACGAATGCCCGACGCGTTTAGCTGAGGCCGTATGGAGTTACGGTGTCGTTCAAAACAATCGAGGGGTAGGAGGTAGCAGATCAGTCATGGACTCGATTCGGAAGCATTCTCGAAGCTAGGAGCACTTGTTGCATGGAGGAGCTCCTCTCTGATTGGATAGAGGCGACGACCCTCGACCTCCCGTCAGAAACTGGGCCAGTGTCCTGGGAGCAATGTTTACGCTCCCCAAGCCACCCTCCTCCCTCATTCAGGACGATGCCTTTTCCCTTTCTACTAGAGCCCTTTCTCACCCATCATCCTCAGGAGGTCGTCGCTCCCAACTAGATTCGAGCTCGTCCCACGTCTACACTCTCGACGGTCAGACCGAAGAGCAGCGCTTCTCTCTCCGACGAAGTTGAATCGATATATTCACTGCGGTGGTCGACGAGGAAATTATCCCCACAATGAGCATGTCAGATGTGATTCGCCGATTGAGGGCTGCAGGCTGATTCGTATGTCCCTCCGAAGAAAACAGGGGTTCGCGAACCCCCTCACACGAGAACACCTTGAATCTCGGCGGCTGGCCCGTGCATGGAAACGATTCATGTACTCGGGATCCGACATGTCGTTAGGTCACAGTGCTTTGACCGGAATCACCGATCCCGAATGGTCGATTCAAGCCTGCTGCCAGCTACCCGGGCGCCCTCCAACCCTCCCCCGAGCAGAATGTTGTAGCTACTTTCGAGCCCCCCGTAGAGAACGCGCTTAGTTCTGGTGTTCGGCTCGCAGTCGCGACCGACTCTGGAAAAGTAGGCCAAAATGCTTTCGCCAAAACGAGGAAGTTCTGCGAAGATTTTTAGACACTACTAGCTAGTCCGCCTCCAAGCCAGACTAACAAACTGCTACCGCTCAGAAGGAACCATAAATTAAGCAGCTTCTGAGTAATCAACTCTCAACAGAACAGATCAACCTCTGGAAGAGTTTCGGCTTCCTCTCGCAGAGAATCCCAAAATGCCCTTAAACGTAGGTTCTGCGACTCTGGCTTTCCGTTCAATTTCGGGGAGGCAGAAGACCCACTGAAGCTTCCTCGGTGACACATTCATCTCCAGCGTGCATTGCGAAGAGGAAGATCACAAAGGAGATCAATGAATTTGAACCATGACAGTGACCGTTGGTCTCTTCGATATGAGAGCGTTATCAGCACAACCGCGAAAACCGCCGATGGAGAAACACGCTTATCGCGTGCCCTTTCCGCCAGGCATTTCGCTCCGTGCGATAGCGAAGTCTCTCGCAGGTCCCGTGTTCGAAGTACTGAAAATATTGAACCACGTCAAGCTGACGTTTCGTTTTTTGACGCATACCGAGCTTAGAATTCCTGTGCGAGGGCGTTGCCTGTCTTCTGGCGTGAATGAAGGAGCCGTCCAAGCTCGGAAACAAAAACGCTCTGCGCCGAATTCGATACTTCGCCGTATTGTTTGATAGAAGCCGCACAGCGAAGGATTGGGTTTCGAGATCTTGTGTCCGAAAACCGATTCTGGAAGGGATCGAGCGACACGAAGATATTGTTTCTGAGATCCTCAGCGCGGCTCCGGGAGCCCCATAGGATTCGCGTACCCCGAATGCACGGAGACTCTAGATGCGCGGAAACTCGAATATCCTCGCTCATGAATCAAATATAGAACGTTTTTTTCTGTCCAAGTAGCGATCGAAGGGGCTCAAATTTATCGGCGGCACAGT